TTTTCACGAGGACAAATTGTAAACATTGCCACTGAATATACTTGTTGACTAATGTTTCACATGACTTTGCAAAAACAGTGCTTTCAGCGCTTTGATATTGTTCTGTAAGTCGACACTCACAATCTAAATTATTTCGATTCTGATTGAATCTAAATGATGATTCTAATATAACATACTGGAGAGAAAAACTAATTTCTGTAATGACTTTGTTACTCTTAGTTGAAAAAATAGATATTTTTTACCGGTCTCTATATAAAGGAAAAGTGATCCCACTGTTATTTTATACGATCTCTAATGGAATTGCTTTTCATTTACTATCGAAAGTTGATCGGATAAAAGACTATGTTCATCAGAGTGAAATAATTTCTGTCAATTTGCATCTATTGGCAGAACTCCTGTTTATATATTTTAGAAGAATATTGAGTATATAAGTATATCATTTTATTATAATACTGCACGTTTGTAATGTCGCTTTTCATTGGATAATTATAATTTTATTATTATACACGGCTGCTGTCAATTTATGAAGAAATCTTACTTTTTTTCTTCTCAAAAAAGGAAGTTTGCTGTATTACAATCCGGTTGTTTAAATGCCAAGCGCAGTGCACTGAAGCATGAGCCACGATTTGAAGTTTTTCCTGAAATACCTTTAATATGGTGGGGCTTGAAATAGAACCTGCAATCCCTGCATTTCTGGTCCAGTGCTATACCACGGGACCAGGATCCAGTTCTATAAAAAAAATTCGTATGTATTCTATGCTTAATGACGGTCAGTCTGTCCACATAGTAACAAAAAAAAAAAAAAAACAAACAAACAAACAAACTTTCGCTATCGAGTACGGACCCCGGACACGTTACTAATCCTATCTCCTACGCAGTGATCTCCCCTTACAGGATTAGATACTGGTCGTAGCGTAAACGGTGCGCGGAGTTTGGCCTTTGAAGTAATTGCAGGGGTGGGGGGAAACTTAATCACAAATTTTAAATGGACACGTAGTTTCATGCACAATACTAATACATAAATATATTTAGTTAGATTTGAAGTTAAGGCGGGCATCGATAGGTTTTTTTCTGAATAGGAAGTTTGAAATTTACTTCGTTCCTTTTCTGTAGAAAATTCTCTCCAATCACAAGTTAATTGTTGACGAATGTTTTCTGAAACATATCGGAAATTTAAAGTTCATTTGTTGATGATATATATAAGTTCCCCGTGACAAAGAACATGCGCTGATTCTAAAAACAAGTTTCAATTAAATTTGTTTTCAAATATTTATGATTCCAAAGCAGCTGGCAAGACAGAAACTGAAAAAATGAAACTAACAGCGTTTAGTTAACCATACATTTAGGACAACCACTTATTTTATTTGGTTTGGTTTTACGGCGCAACAACATAAATTAGGTCATGTGGGCGCCGAAACAGGAAAGATGATTTTCCCTAACCTTGTGTGTTACAAACTTGAAGCAACACCAGGGGTCAAAACCACCTAACCTGCTGGAGCTAAGACATGCATAGATTCCAGTAATTCCAACCCGTTTAGTCGCCTCTTATGATCACGCAGGGATAAACTACAATTCTGATGCCTTAACCGTTACAGGCAACCGGTAATCGACTTATAAAATAAAATATAAATATAAAACGTCTTAAGCAGCAATAGCGACAATCGATCCTATGTCGTTACTTTTCGACCTCTTTAGATTGGTTAATTTTTTCTTTTATGTGTCTTAATTAATGATTTGCAAACAAAAAAAATAATAATGAAGTTGATTAAGGATTGTTCCCCCACGGGTTCTTAATGCCATGATTGAATGTTTTTTAATATACATTCTTTCCCGTTATTGCAAATGAATTTAGCTATCATGAACATAAATTATGAAGGGATTATCGTAATACTTCTTAGTGTTTACACTTACATTATATTTCTTTTTTGTATATAATTAGTTGTATTATAAATAATTCTTCTTGATAAACATTGTTATTTTATGTGTCAGCTTTGACGTAAAATGACGTATTTTGAATGAGCCATTATAAACGCTTGTTAGCTTATATAAAGCGAACTTTTAAATGACACAATTATCCAATGATATTTCACGTTTTAAACCTGTAGTAAGAAAACAGAAACAGCTTGGAACGTTAAAGAAAATACATAGACTTAAAGCAGCATGCCTCCAGATGTGACAAAATATTTAAATAAAATCAAACTTCAGAAAAATGTACTAAGATTTTAGAAAAAGTAGAAAGATTCAATTAATAATTTACATGTTATGAGTGACTTATTGCTAATTTGTCATTATTTATAACTATATTTCTACTACGTTACTAACGCAGTAAGGGCAATTTTGCATATTTTAGACTCTTTTTGTTATTAAATTCGATTGTAAGTGTCATTGATAATGTATAAGTTGCTTCCTTTCGGTTACTATACAATACATGTATTATACTTTTAAAATTTTCAAAATATTCATGACAATAAACAGTGACCTGGAGGTGTGCTGCTTTAATACTTGAACCAGTACACAAAATATAGGAGAACTGTATAGCATTAAATTCTGTTCATGCAAAAACGTTTCTAGAAACCTCTCTAGGGGTCAATGAAAACAATGGAATACACAGATTTGGTTTCGAGAGGCTCTCTTAACTAACGTGCGAAAATTAATCCGTAGTTTTTAATGTACGTGTGTATTTCATCCCTTTGTGGATATTTTTAGATTTTTAGATGTTCTTCCATTAGTTAATCTTGGGAGTGGTCATTCATGGTATTTTTTTTTTCATTTTTCATCGTAAGTTAATAAATACAACTAAAAATCAACAAAAATGCCAAACGCAGGGTTGGGTAAAAACTTGAAAAAAATATATTGAAAATTTATTATGCGAATTTATAATAGATGTTGTAAATGAGAAACTTAAACTAAATCTAGATTGTCCCGATTTCATCAGCTGAAAAGTAGAGCGACCTTGTTTTAAGATAATCACGATCTGACGACAATCAGATCACTTATACTTTATTTTCATCAGAGGTTAATAAACCCCATTTAAAAAAATATTTAGATTTTAGATACAAAACCATGAACAATAAAACACATATAATAATACACCTCTCATATTAATGCTTTGAAACAGAAAAATGAGGCGAATTATTTCTTTTCCGCTCTCCTTTGACAAATCGGAAGTGCTTACCCTATTCTCTCATTAGTCGATTGAGGTTCATCATGCCATTCCATTTACGTCCCTCCTAGTTATGATGTATTTTCTAATGTAGTGAAAGAAAAACCGGGTTCAATTTCCTACAAAAACAGGTCGCATGTCATTATAAGAATAAAAATATAATATGTATCATTAATGTTAAGGCATGTTTTTTGTGTTTTTTGTTTTTTATTTGTTTCTTTTCTTTTTTTTGTGTGTGAAGAAATCTATGTTTTAAATTTCAACCTGTTGTACGCCTTAGCCTTAGCAAAATTCATTTTCCACCTTAATTCTTCTAATCTAACAATTATATAAAACGATTAATCTAAAAATAGCATACATGTATTTAACATTTTAGAAAAGACTGAAGGCCGCTTTAACACGCTAACAAGGTGTAAGTTGCAATTAAGGTAATGTATTTGTTCAAATGAGGACTGATACATCACGTGCAAATGCACAGCAAAAGGGTTTTGATTTAATTCGCTTGTTTTGAAAATACACCGCTTCGTCCTTCCCAGCGTGTGACTTTTGTCATAACAGATAGAGCGGTGCTAGGGTGTCCATAACAACTTTTCTGCACACCGCCAAAACATACGGCAATTACTTTGAACGACATCATTTTACATAAAGTCAAACTGTCTCCTAACTCTCTTTACTATTCGCATCAGTACCATTGAGAATATTGATAAATTTTAAAGCTGCATATTAGATGAGCCAAGATATTTCAATTAAAATCAAATTAAAGAAATCTAGAAAAGTATAAAAAGATTCAAGGTCATTCAAATAATGATGTATATGTTATGTGCGATTAATGATTTAGCAGACCTTATCATCATTTTGTTACTGCGTTTGTTTGTTGTTGTTGTTTTGTTTTTGTTGTTTTTTGTTTGTTTTTGTTTTTGTTTTTTTTTTGTAATTTACATTTGCAATGTGACAAAAGCAAATCAACGGAGGTGGTAGGACTGAATTCCAGGCATTTTTTTCTTCATATTTTCTGATAGAATAATCTCAAAAATTGAATAATCTATGTAAATTTATATGAAACTAATTTTTTGGACTTGTATGTGTTTATGATCCGGTTTCATTTTGAAGCATTTTAGCTAATATATATTTTCTGCCTTTAGTTATAAAATTATTGTTTGATTTAATACCTGTCTGAAAAAAATACGTCTTTTAATTCCATTAAGAGCTAGTATGCAGAAAATTATTGCTAAACAGGTACTACTTCTGAAAAGCAGGATAATATTTTGTTCACAGCAAGCTAAGTTGGGGGGGGGGGTCACATTTTTCTAAAACCGGATACATGTATTTGGTATAATGAATGTTTTGTTAAAGGCAAATTAAATAAATATTTTCTTCTTTAAAATGGAATACGAAAAACGACTAAATAATGGTTTTATATTTGCTATCACCTAAAGAAAGTAGATCAAAATATTATATCATTTATAGTAAAAGTATTAAAATGTATTTGTATTATGACTTCAATACAAAATACTAAATCACTACAAGTATACTAACTGCCTAAAAGCAACAGAAACAAAAAAAAGTTCAGGAAGGTTGCCAATGAGTAACTTTTGTGGAAACTAGAAAAGGACATCAAAAATAAAAAGCTTTTGGGAAATAAATATAAAAGTATCTCTGGGGCATAATGGGCCTTTAAAGAATTAATCAAACAAATGTCTCCTCGGTTTCAACTTTTATTTGAATCGGGGTTTATGTTTCTATTATTTTTACTTGTTCCTGTATTTTCTTTATTATCTTTTCGTCTTTTCATACTTTTAATATTTCTAAACCTTTAATGTTAACGTTTTTGTTTCAGGAAATTTTGTTTGCAAGGTGATCATGTTTCTACCGTTGCTTAGCGTTATGGGGGCTATTTTTACGATCGTCGCCATAGCAATCGACCGTTACAGAGTAATAGTTACCCAGAAACAGCTGTACCGTCAAGGAGCACTCACCGCCATTATTGTCATTTGGATTGGCTCGGTTTTCGTCTCAGCTCCGCAGATTTACGAGTACAACGTGTACAACGATAGGAGCGAGTATAATTCAAACATCACATACAAATCCTGTGGTTCTGAAGGCATTGTTGAACATTTTGAGACAATCTACGCCAGTTTGGTATTCGTCTTCGCTTTCCTGGTTCCGTTGTTTATTTTGGTCGTCTGCTACACGCAAATCATGTTATACGTCTGGAGACACGGTAGACGATTCAGGGCCACGTGCATGCGATCATCTGGCAACAGGCCAAACGAAGAGAGGAGAGCCAACAAAATGTTGACAACAAGGATGGTTAGGCTTGTAAAAATGCTGATATGGATAACAGTCACTTTTGTGGCTCTTTGGACTCCGTACTTCATCATTTTTGCGATGACGGTATTTATCATTTTTTCAACAGTTATATAATAATGTCTTTCACATTGTTCTTAATAATTGTGTGTTTTGATTGAATCCATGTACAAATTTATCTAAGAAAATCAAGTTCTTAAAAGTACGTTTTTAAATCAGTTTTCTGGATCTTTTTACAACCAGTGTTACGGTCTGCTACACTCGAGGTAATAAAACATTTGTACGCGTTCTGTCTCAAATTTCAGGGATTTAATTGGTCAATGAACATTCTGTGACAGTTTCTGACCAATCAAATAGCTGAGATCTGTGTTTGAGCTCAGAGAATTTCTTTATTATCTCAGACCTGGAGCCGGTTTGGTTGTAACTTGTTTTACAATTAATTGACATTCACATAAACATACACAAACTAATATCATGTCTCATTGCTCCCCCTGTGTAATAATTTGTATCTTTCTTGTGACAGGGTTTGGTTTGGTTTGTCACGTGACATTTTGTGTACGGTAAGAAGAGGTCACCGCTTACGGAAGTTTTCGTTATAAATAATAAGCATATACCATGTTTCAGGTACAATTTATCCGATTCCAATGATCTGTAATATTTCATTGTAATTCTTTTACTTTTACCGTTTTGCTTGCAAAAAAATCGAAGCGGCAATATTTTGATGGAAATTAGTGTCACAATGTTTGCAGGCATATTTCGAAAAGAACAAAAGCTACATTGGAAAAATATGAATCATTGAAATCGGAAAAACCTTGCCTGTAACAAGGTTTATATTTTTTATTATTAAAAAAAGTGAAAGATATAACGAACAAATAGCAGGTGACCCAATTTCAACGTAAAAATGTCTCGTGAGAACCCATCCTGTGTGAGTTGTGACGTCAAAATACTCTATCAGAGCTTATATCAGATATAATAAGTATATATGATTAATAAAATGTTAGATTGTGAAGATAAAACAGGTTTATAATATCAAATTCATAGATTTAATGATAATTTCAGGAGGTCATGGGTATGGACGATACTTCAAATTTCTCAGAGTGGCCGCACGTGGTCAGCCGAGCGATGACACTTCTAAGTACAATATCGAATCCAGTGTTCTTTCTAGCGTTCAGCGAAAATTTCAAGGAGGCCTTTGTAAACACGTTTTGTCATTCTCTTCGTGGCCAAGGTAACGGACGCCGATCATTTTTCAGAAGCAGCAAAATTGTCCCTGCAACGTCACGCGAAAAACGTGACGTATGTGACGGGGTCATGGAGATGAAATCCACTTCTTTGAAAGTGTTTTCTATGACGTCAGAGCCGGCAGATATGGAAAATAACTGTTAAAACTCGTTCCCCCATTTTTGATGTGCAACCTTGGAAAATGGTGATTGACAAAAAGATAGAATGATGTTACTTTCAAAAAGAATAAGCTTTTATGCACTTCTAACGAATATGTTTATGTATCTATAATTTCATGAACACGGTAAAATGAATATTCTATAACCATTTTAGGTACGATTTCTGTACAACGGCATAATTATTTTAAAGTAAGAGTAGTAGCGGAATACCATTTTGTTTAATTTCTAAAAAGGTATATCATTAAAATAATGACCGACTTAATTTCAATTTCAAGTTCTATCTCAGTTTTGTTTGAGAGTCAGTGAGAGATAATTCATATCACTCAGGGTTTAATATTCATCGTTACGAAGAAGCCTACTGATTGTAATTTTATAATGTTGTGTATTTTATATTAATACAAAAATTACACCCAGCTGCTATAATACACATCTATTATACATATCAATTTTTAGACATATTAATTAGACATATGTATTGGATATATGTATTAGCCATATTTATTAGACAAATTTTTTAACATATCTATTAAACATATCAATGAAACATATAAGACATATCTATTAGGAATATACATTAGACATATTTATTTTAAAAGACATATTAAGTAGACATATGTACGAGACATAATTATTAAAAGTATGCATTAAACATATATTATTATAAAACATATTTATTAGGCATACACATTAGACATATTAATTAGACATATGTATAAGACTGCCACTAACACGAAGAAAAGAGAGAGCAATGTCCCAGTCAAATATAAGGTCTCCCGGAATTCGACATTGTTGAATTTCAATAAATTGCCTTCATGACTTATAGATTATGGTCGTTAGTTTATATAAATGTTTATTAAGTTCAATTACTGTTTAAAGTGCTCTTGTTCATAATTTTATATAATTTTGTCCATAAGTATTTTGCATTTGAAGTTTTGCTCATAATAATCAGAATCAGTTCAATAAAAACAAGATCTTTTCTTAAGCTTTAGTCATGTTCAGAAAAAATTGACGTTTTTTTTTAAGTTTTGCTCAAAAAGGTCATTATATGTACTCTGATAATACGGCATGCTTGTAACACAATTTTTCATTCGATTATCTTGACCTATTAGTGGTACTGATTTTTGACAGGTAAAATGACCCTATGTAAACGGTTGTTTGCTTATAACCCAAGCTGCCCAGCACAGAGAATAACGACTTGAAAGGCAGGCCCTTTGCTTGGTACCAACAGACCTTCTCAGGGCATATTACCTCAGGTTACTGTACATTTAGGTTCTTATTGGCCGCCGTACAGTGACCTACTTTTGGCACACATTTCGTATCTTTGACTTATGGAAGACATTGCAAAGGACTAAACTTTCAGCACTTTGTGCTTCAAAATCTACCCTTTAAGGGGATGATTAGGAACATGTCCGGGATCCGTACTCGGCAGCGAAAGCTGCTTTTTTGCCCGAACGAGATGAAGGGCCCTCATTAAACATAAAATACATAAAAACATACCTAACCCAAACAGAATGGTAAGGTTTATATTGCCAAAAACAATTTATATACGGTCATATTACCTTTCAAGAATCTTTATAAAGAATTAATAATACAGCATTCTTTCTTTATTACAGAGAAATAAAAAGAAATTACTTCATAAATTGACAAAATGTATACATACGTCACAGTTATTCAATGAAAAGCGCCGTTACAAACGTGCAGTTTTATTTAAAAAAAAAAAACAACAACAACAACAACAAAAGAACCCACACACAGCTGCTGTATTATTTAGAAATATTTTTTTTTTTCACATTAGATAAAGGAATTGTGATTTCAAGTAATTCAAATCACTCAGAACCCAATCATTCCGAGTTTTGTCACTGGGCAAACAACACTTGAGTATCCTGGAACTTTCTTTGTCGACACATCTCTTTTAAAAAATCACATCTAAAGCTAAAACAGGAAATTCTAAGAAATAATTCATTTAAAGATGCAGACGTTTTTAATAGCGTCTGTTTTTTTCATTTGCGGCAATATGTTGTTTTATAGAGACTCAAGATTCAGATAACGCTATTGAAAAATGACACCGAAACAGATACTTTGGAATTATTTAAGACTTTGTATCAAAATAAAAAGTATATGAAGAACATGAAATATAAGTCTCGCAAATATAAATTGCTGTACAACAGAGGTTAATGGTGTAGTACGGAGGCATTTAAACCGAAATTTTGACCCTTTCACCTTTAAGCTTTGATGCATAGATTTATATGGAATCAAATTTCCAAGGCATTCTTTATAACTCAGCCAAAGTACTACGGAAATGGCCGGGAAATTACGAGATACTGTAATTATCCAGCGAAAAGTATAGATTTGTGAATTTTATAATTTCTTTTTGTTTAACAGATGTTTTATTTGTCTCTTTTGTATATCATTTATGGAGATTTATTTATTTAATTTGTTGTTGTTGTTTTAAGGGTTATTTTCCTGGAACAAAAACAGTAATGCGTTGTTTAAATGATTGTAAATAAAAGGTAACCTAAGACATTTTTACGACAACGAATTTTATTAATATTCGTTTATATTGATAAGAACAGTCTCTCAACATTAAATTACTAAAACATTAGTTTTATAACTTGTCGTAAACATATAAAACTTATCGAAATTTAAAACAAATTCAATTTTCACAGTAGATTTGCTTAACATTATAATTCCCTTTTTAATGGGCTCAATTAATTTAAAATAAAAATTTAAAATATAAATCATCTTGTTTTTTTTTTTAGAATTTCTAAACAATTACTTTTAACTGAGCAAGGGGCCAGCACGATCAGGTTGCTCAATTTTTGTTTCTTGTCACTGAAATCCCTTGAAATTAGATTGGACTGTTCCAAATTCAAAGCAGGGCAAACCCATTACACAAATTCAGCTGGTTTTAAAGGTTGTATGCAATATGTAGATACATGTTAGATACACGCTCTTTTATATAGATATTTGCTCAGCTATTATTCTAAACAATAAAAATGTTTGTAATTGAGTGTTTTCAAGAAATAAGTTATATTGTTTATATTCTATGTTGTCAGTGATTATAGTTGCTGGATTGATGGATACACGGACGGACAGATGGACAAACTAACAAATGAACGAAAGAACGAACGAACGAATGTATGAATGAATGACACATGTGTTCCGTGTACAATATTTTGTTTCGTCAATAAAAACATCAGTTAACCCAAGCGTTTTTTTCTCTCTATTAATCCATTCAGTTCAGGATTCGAACTTTGCACTGATTTGCATTGTTTTGGTTTGAGACATGTTAAAGACAGATTGCAATTTAGTTGGAATAACTGACAGGACTGGTTATTTAGTTAATTAGACTTGTGAATTTTGATTGGAAGCTAGTTCAATAAACTTTGAGTTCTGGTTGAAATTAGAAACATGTTGGATTTACATACAGGTGACGTCACAAATGACGAAGATATAAATCCAAAATATAAATCCATCTTAAAACTTACATTAAAATTCTAATTAACCCTGCTCAAGACTGAACTATCTTAAGACAAATCGGATCAGATAAATTTATGATATAAATACACACATATAATTATAGAGCCGTAACAAAAACAAAACTCGGTCATTTACATTTACCATAAAAGGTAACTGAGGCTCCGAATGGAGAATACGATTTATTAAGCGAAGAGCAAATAACATTTCACATGTAATCAAAATTCTCATTTCCTTTTTTTTTCTAAATATCATGCAATAAAACAATGTATGAGAATATATACCGTGAGGGAAATATCACGGCCTTGGGCGGCATTTATCTCAACAGCATACGTCATCCGCGCGCAGACCATTGAAAGCTCTTGGTTATGCCTAGTTCTGGCTTCCATAACTTTATATGTCGCTTTTATTTTGACGTTGCAACAGTAAAGTTATGGGTCAACCCTATTTGCAAAGGCTACCAGAATTTGACAGTTCGTGCGCGGTACATAAAAACCTCTTTAAATCACCCTTATTAATCAAATTTGGGTCAAATAAAAATACCAATTGATAAACAAATCAATTTTGAACCAATTCATGTTTTGTTTTTAAATGAAACTTCAATGACATTGTGTACCCAAATGTTTTTAGAGAAATATGTAGAGAATGTATACCAATATGGAGTCTGCTTTCAAATGGGATCTCGCGGACTTCATGTTTTGGAAATTCTAGCATCTATTTTTAGTAACGGACCGTACATTATTTTTAGTAAGTGTATGATTTTATATAAAAACAAACATATAATTCATGAATCATCACTTAAAACAATATAAATCCAACATGTTTTTTGGTACAATGTCTGTTATTGAATAAATACACCGTTATTCATAATTGCAAAGCCATGTTTTCAATTAAAAATAGCATTTGGGTCACGTGTCACCAAATGTCATGCAAAGGATATCCGAACCTAAATTCTCGATGGTCACGTGATAATTAGGGCAGCTATGGCGGCGAATTTTATGAAATGTGAACCCGCTGATAAACTTTGAGGCAATATTTCATCAATCTAACTTTCTGTGTTAAAAAATATAGACTGAAGGGTCCCAAATATATCTAACCACCTGTATTAAAATAGCTTTTGTCCAGATCACGCACATTTATTGAATTACAGCATGACATAAAAATGTCACGGTTCTGGTTGACTTTCGATACGGGGTTGGCTTCAGCGAACAGGTCTAGCAATACTATAAAACCTGTTCGCTGAAGTATCTTTAGCTAGGTTATGCCGGGCTTTGGTTTTGATTTAAATGAGCATTTCCCACCAACGGGGAAAAGCATTCGTTGTCTGATTTGAAAATATAAAGTAACGTACCCAAACATTCTGCATCACTACTTTAACATAAAATTCAACAAAGCCCTGCCCTCACTTCCTCGGTTTTCTCCCAGCAACATTCCTTTATTTCTTCGTGTTAGTGTTTTTTCCCCTGATTATTCTTGACTTTTTCTTCTTGCATAAGTGGTGACTGCACGAGATGTTTCCATTTGTTAAATCTTTTTGCGGCTAATTATCAGTTTAACAAAAACTCAACGACAGAATTAGCAAAACAATTCCGTGCAAAGATGATATAAAGCGTCAAGCTTCTCATTTCCTTGTTAAAGATCTTGATAAAGAGCAGCTAATAATTGCAATGTATATATCAATATAAAAAATTACGTATATCATGTTATATAGTTAAATATTTGAGCCGCGTCATGAGAAAACCAACATAATTGGTATACAACCAGCATGGATCCAGACCAGCCTGCTGTTCGATATCAGTTTCTATACTTGTAATAGAGTTGGTAAGAGAACAGCATGGATCCTGATCAGACTGCGCAGATGAGCAGGCTGGTCTGGATCCATGCTGGTCGCAAACTCATTATGTTGGTTTTGTCGTGACGAGGCTCATTTTATGTATGGGATGTGAATCGACGCTAATGTTGGACTGCTTCTCCTTATTCCGGTGTCTGTGACTCTATTGGCGAACAAAACCCGGGGTTGTCGGGATACCTCATTAAATATAAATAATCCGAAGATTGACGGAAAGGGCCGAAATAAAAAAGTTGCGATTGAATTTCCGTGTTGTGATCGAACTTGACTAGAACTTGACTACGCACTGAGTGACAAATAGTGACATTGAGCTATATTTAATGTAATATAAGTATCTGATTGTGATGGAAACAGTATGAAAAAGGTAATTTAAATTTCATCAAATAAGAGTCATAACCAATTTATAAAAGTTTTCGTAAATATTTACAAGTTTACTGTTTACAAGTATACATTTAATTTTAACGTCTATTGTTTCAAGTGTTGTGACAGTGTTAGCAACAAATTCCTCGCTTTCATATTAATCTACAGGTGGCTCTAAAATTTAGAGAGGCGTTGCTCAAAACGAGGAGTCATTTTACTTCCTTAATGCTCGACCATATCCAAGGGGCAGGACGTGAAGTGGTTGCACACTTGGTTCAAGCGAGCCAATTGGTTGCAAACTTGACAAAATGGCGAACACGGCGTGATTTTTTGAAACGGGTGAACGAATTTTTGCAAGGCAAGTGGGTTTCTTTGTTATTTTGAAGTTCATTAGTATGTCTATTCCATAATGCAATATATATGCCACACTCGGTTAAAGGTTTCAGCATCCTAGATTCTGTTTTGACGAAGTTATTGAAGATATAAACTGATCATGTAGATATTTTGAAATTTGACAAGTGACTGTTCTGGTCGGTTTTTCTCCTAATTTATTCGAATTTGTAAGTTTTGAACTGCATTTAACAATAACAAAATATGTTTCTGTCAATGCTTTACAAATGGTTTAGTTCGCAAGACCGAAGATAACGTTCAATACACAAAAATATCTTGTTCAAGCACATTTTGGTTGCAGACTTATACTTCAAGCATTTTTGGTTGCAAACTTTTGTGTCAATAATGTGGCATGCATATTTTTAGTGAGAAATAACAAATCATTTGTTTTAATAAATAGCAATATTAAGGCAATTATACCCGTTCATCTAATAAGAAATATATATACAAATTGTTCATGCGTGCAGATATATCCTAACACGGGGTCTTTCAAATAGATATTAAACACAATGTGATAAATTGAAGTTCATGCAGTTGTGTTTATCTTCATCATTTTTTTCTCATCGATATACTTCTTTTCTTTTTACAAAGGACTTTTTTTTATATCTTGGCATGACTAACTTTAAAGGAAAAGAAGAAAAAAATAGCAACAAACAGCTTTGATTGTTGTACTTTTTCGAGATCTGAAATAAATTTGATTGTATAGTAGTTAAAAACTATATTAACATTGACACAAGCGCATTATTCACATGTTTCTTTAAATTGTTCCTTAATTATTATTGACCAATCGAAACATCTTCCAAATTCCCTAACTCGAACAAAGACTTTAAGTAGTTTTGTCACGTATCAGTCAATGTAAAAAACCAATCGTATATCATTTATAATATGATCTAATAATCAAAACCACCTTTAGAATACCAATTGACATATGATGTACATCAAATCCGAAATATTGTAAACAAGCATGTCATTTTAACTTTTGGTTTGTAAAAATATTTTAAGTACATTTACATACTTTATGTCTAAAGCAACTGCTGCATCTTTACATACGAAACAAACAAATTAACATTTCTTGTGGTTTTGATAAATTTTGGAAATTTTACCGAGTAAAATCGTATGTGTACACATGTCCCTATGTTTATGATGAAAATAATTCACTTACATACAGCAGTACTCTCACAAACGTTTTTTTGTATGTAGTTTTCATTTGCATTTTACATATGATGACATATTTTAGAATTGAAGTATCAATAAATATTTTTCTATATGCTATTATTTTGTTTGCGTGTTTTTACTAATTATTATAGTATTGAACTGAGAATCATGTAATTTGAAACATAAAGTGCATAATTTTTTCTTGTAAAAGAAAGAAAGTATAAATAACATGTATGTCAAAAACAAGTAACAGTACATAAATGTCAATAATTGCAACTTAATAAATATAACCGTCTCAGTCCTTATGCAAAGATTTTTAAATAGAATAAGAATAAGTTTGCAACCAAAAATGATTGAAGTATAAGTCTGCAACTAAAATGTGCTTGAACAAGATATTTTTGTGTATTGAACGTTATCTTCGGACTTGCGAACTAAACCATCTGTACAGCAATGACAGAAACATATTTTGTAATTGTTAAATGCAGTTCAAAACTTACAAATTCGAATAAATTAGGAGAAAAACCGACCAGAACAGTCACTTGTCAAATTTCAAAATATCTACATGATCAGTTTATATCTTCAATAACTTCGTCAAAACAGAATCTAGGGTGCTGAAACCTTTAACCGAGTGTGGCATATATATTGCATTATGGAATAAACATACTAATGAACTTCAAAAGAACATAGAAACCCACTTGCCTTGCAAAAAATCGTTCACCCGTTTTAAAAAATCACGCCGTGTTCGCCATTTTGTCAAGTTTGCAACCAATTGGCTCGCTTGAACCAAGTGTGCAACCACTTCACGTCCTGCCCCTTGATATCGTTATTCTTCCTGTAACGAGGGCACAAACAAATTTTTGACATAGGTTCACAAAAATGAAAAACAGTATAGGCTTTAAGAAATTCAGTACATTTTTTGTATTTATTGCAATACTAGTAATTAAAATGTGGTGTGATAAGGAAAAACAGTAAACATTTCCTTAAGGCCATAAAAAATATAATGAGAACGCGGTCGTTTTGCGGCAAGAAATACATGTATAGTCAAAATAATACAACGATCCAATCACACATGAAATACGGAGAATGACGAATGTGGCCGGAATCATACGAACTCTTAAAAATGGACATAATACAAAATCTTCTTTAAACGACAAAAGTAATGTCTCTATCAAAACAACTCATGAAGGAATTTAGAGCTAATGTGCCCCCTTCAATAAGAATATCACCGATAGCAATTGCCGCAAGAGTATTTCGTTCTTTCAATATAATATCCTTCCAAATTGTTTCCGTTGTTTTAAGTTTAATATCCCATTGCCGTGGTGTTTTGTGACGGACTCTTGCAACTCCGTTTCTAAGTTTTATAAAATGATGTGACGACGGTTCGCTTAATTCAATATATAAAGTTTCATTTCGATCTGCACAGTCTTCCGGTCTAAAAAGTACGGAGAAAGCGGATATGACGTAATCAATTGGAAATTCTCTAACAAGAGCCTCTCTCGTTTCTTTTGGTGTCTTGTATTCTAGACCAGTCGCTTCTTCGAGAGCAGAAGTTAGGTAATAATTTCTACCGTTTACACTTGTTTGCCGTGACCCAAGTGCAGTAAGAGCTTCAACTTTCACATCTTTGGCCGCTTTGTTATTTGGATCAACTCTGACAATATACGAAGATAACTCAAGAGCCCACTGAAACTCTCTGGAATTTAACGCTTCCTTCGCAGTATTTACAAGTTTCTCTGCGCCAACCAAGTTGACCATTTTCTGAGCCTTCTCATTTCTTGTAAGAGGATCAAGATCAACAGGATCACCGCTGAACCAGCCCTCATAGTCTGTAAACACTGACTTAGCCGACCATTTAATTGTTCCGTAAAACTCTTTCAGGAATGGATTCTTCAACAAATGTTTTGGTAACTGGACCATGTTTCCGATTTCATCCGGGTGGTAACCATAATTGATCAGCCTGACAGATTGGTCATGAACATATTGTATGGCGTCCCTGTATTCAGTAAGAAGCTCCGAAACCGTTTCTCGTCCGAAAATAGGTCTAGTATGGCTTGGAACCAATTTGTCTGGTTCCAGGTCAATCATCTTATCAAGGGAGTTAACCCATTGCATAAGTTCACGTGATTTAGTACCGCGAATGGCGTACAAATTTGGGAAGGCTTTGTACAGATCGTCGGCACAGAGGAAAGCAGATTGATCAGGAATCCAAACACCAATCTGGTCATCGGTCTCCCCTGGTATATGGACGATCTTCAAAGACACACCTGAAATAATAATAAAATGTAAATGCACATTTTTTCCACCATTTACAGCTGCAGAAGCATGATGGCACATTGAAAGCCCAACCCGCTAGGCGAGGAGTTTTGTAAGTCTGAGGACTTCCGCAGATGTTAATACACGAGAAAATGGTGCATTAGCGCTATTCTTGCATAAAAGTGTAAGTCTAACGGTATATCTGTATTTCGCATTATGAAACCGATAAAACCATTGTGACGATTGGTTGTTGTTACATTACGCAGTGAGTCACGGATATTTCAGGTAATACATGTTTTTTATAATCTATCTGTCAATGCATGTTTTCTTCTAAGTTAATGTATACCTGCGTGCACCGGTTTTATGCATGATTATGAATAATTAATTATTTATTAAGTATTATTAACAATTCTAATGGGTTTGCTTTAATTGCTTGAATAATCATACCTCTTCGCGATCTGTGAATAAATGCAGTCAATAATTTCGTTCATCTTGTATCAGCTTACTATCTCTATAGGAAAGTTACATTTACACCAAACATTCAAAATATATAAAGTCTATGATATATTAAACTTAAATATTTTAGCAGCTTTTGTAATTTTTTCATCACATTAATAAACGGTAATAAATAAACGGTATATGTAATTGCTCTACCTGCCATTTTGATGTCTAATTCCTCGCCGTCTACAAACTTGTTTGGATATAGGAATCCGGACGTCATCCCTTCTTTACCAATGTTAAGTTTGAACCCTATACCAGCCGATACTTCTGGTAGAAACACACCAAATTGCCTCATGGCACGAACGTAATGGGCAATGTTCGGCCCATTGAAGTTCATGGCAAGCGCCTTCAGAATAGATTTATGAGCCCATATGTTTGGACGAAATTGTTCATCTTCCACAAAAGCCTATGGACAGTTTCAACAAAATTTTAAGAATTTTTAGATTAAATAATTCTTTCACGATTGGTTGATTGATTGATTGAACAATGATTGGAGCTATACTGCAGTAGTGTTCATGGCAGTACAAAATTGGTGGCGGTTTGCTTGAGGTCGCTGTGCTTTCCGCAGTTTTCCTGACTAAATCTTGGCTTTACTTACTATTGACAAATTTGAGAACTGGCATACTCATAATGTTCGTACTTGAATGATGCATGCGTTGTCTATGACAACGTTACAAAAACTCAGATTTTTTTGGAGTTGTTTTCCATATAAACTAGTAAATATAATATTACAGAATATCGATATTTAACATATTTTAGATTTAATCAATGCGACTAGCACATTTAGTCACGAAATAAGCCAGTCATAAGTGTGTTAATGCACCCGGCAGTAATTATTTTTCGCTATATGAGCAGCGTTGTTTATTAAATAGGACGAACCATACGAGAAATGGTTCGATACTGCACTGATGACTTTTGTTTTATAAGATATACAAAAAGTCAAATTATAATCATTGAAACATCACACTGTGAAACTAACTATAAACTTGCAAATATTTACCTTCGCTCCATATGTATGATCTGCATGATTGTGGGTATAGATAATATCTGTCACTGGTTTGTTTGTGATTTTCCGGAATTCGGCGAATATCTCTTTCGCAGATTCGTAACTTTCAGTGACGTCAACAATGACAACACCGTCATGGCCAATAATCATGATGGAATTAGCCAAGGCGTAACCAATTGCTACATAAATAGTATCAGCCACCTTAATTTTAATGAAAGAAAAAAACGATAACAGGTTTCTGGTTGACATTATTTGAATGATAATTAAATAGTAATTGCATGTTTTTGTTTAAATAAAAGTTGACACTGTTCTTTTCGTTCAAAGCCGAGACTTACTTATAGATCAATCTAGGTTAGACCTGTCGGATAATTTCGTTATCAGATCAGGAATGTTTATTTTGACGTTGTGTCAAATAATTTATATCCTGATTTGTCAATGTAAACACACGTTAATTTTTTTATTGAACATTTTTATTGGTGTTTGTGTGGGCATCGCAAAGCGAGATTTATTATACGGATAAAGTATTAAAAAAACTGCGTACCTTTATAATACTTTTCTCATTGAATTCTTTTGCATGTTCTTTTATTTCATCCAGGGTCTCAAACCCACGGCGGATTTTATTTCGGTACGACTCCTGCTCCCGAGCTTTCCATACGTTAAGACCATAGTAAATGACAACACTAACCATGGCTATTCCTATTATATAACTGAAAGAGTTCATGGCTTAACCGAGATTTAACACTAGTTTTAACTAATGATATCAAACTAAGTATATATATATAGTAAAGCCGCTATGTAAGTTACTTAAATATGTAAGCCTCTCTTGATAATAATTTTATCTTTCATCAACGGTATATATTTCGTTTATTGTATCTCGTATCAATAAATGGTACACTTAATTCTAGTCCTATAAATTAACGCGTCCTTAATTTAATCAGTCCCAACGCAGTGATTTCCCCTTACAGGAGTGCGCGGAGTTTGTAAATAACATATGGCTTACTATCATTTCAAGGGGTTCCAATAAAAAAAAAGGTTTTACAAAAAATAAAAAAATTACTAAATATATAATTATATATCATTTTTTATATTTTTTTGTGGTAAATGAAGGTAATTGAATTAAAAGCATATACCAAATATTAAAACATGTTTCAAATGAAAAATACTGCAGTTTACATGGTTTTGAGCGGTAGGAGGGTTGTAGAGTGGGTGACGGGGTCCCGGGGGTAGTGACCAATTAACACATCGAACACCTATGGTAAAGGACGGCGCAGCAGTTCTTGTAATCGCTTACTGATAAACCATTTTTGAAACCAATTTTTATAAAACAAAAATCGATTTACTAGACTGATTGTTAGCCGATTTACAAGAGTATATGTGTTACGATTCTTATGGAATACTGCAATACTATTAGATAAAAATAATTTCGAAAACTAATTTTGTTGTTGAAAATGAACCATTATGGAAGAAGAAAAAATGCTAAAATTCGACCCTTATATTGTTTATCGATTGTAACTTTGTGATATGACGCAAGACTAAAAAGAAAACCTGATCCATTAGGACTGATAAACCAGTGGTAGCAATTAACTTAAATGATATGTTTTATCAGAAAATGAAACTGACAGCCGTAAGTGACTCAAAAATATATATATTAAAAAAAACACAGACTCAGCAGTAGCTGTTATAACAGAAATGATATGCTTTGATCTTTTGTAAAAACAAAAAATACAATATCGGAATGATTCGTTTCCAAGCTAATTAAGAAAAAAAAACAATAACAAAACAAATGTTGATGCCAATAATTGCCAGAAAGTTTCGTTTATTTGTTGCAATTCTTTGATCTATTAAATTATATTAAAGAGTTCATACAATGAAATAATGTTTCAAATAAGTATAGCACCGGAAATGACGATTTCGATATGACAGAACATGTCTTGACTTGTGTACATCACGCAAATGTGATGAAGTCATGGAAATATTTTCCTATCATCATTTTAATCTTAATTGGCAAATTTGTGTTGTTCTTTTTTTCTTTTTTTTTGTTGAGTTGTTTTTTTGTGTGTGTTGTTGCTGTTGTTGTTGATGATGATGTTGTTGAATTTATATTTAATTGTTATGCAGTAACAGAAATATTTATTTTTCGAGATATGCAAAAGAGAACAAGCACAAATCAAAAGCTTAGATCGTAACTGGTCCATCTTTATATAGAAATAGAAGCACTCACTGCAGTAACAGAAATATTTATGGTTTGAGATATAAATCAAGGGCTTAGAGCGAAACTGGTCCATCTTTATATAGAAATAGAACCAGATAGACCAGTTTCTCTCTTAATCCTTGAAATGCAAATATAAGTATATGTTCTGTTCTGTCTATTCTATAAACAGGAATCAAGTTAACCTTTTTTCCAGGTTGTGAATAAATTGGTATTGACACGGTTAAAGACCACAAAGGATCAATAATAAATGAAATAGACAGTTTTCAGTTATCAAATGATAACATAAAAGTTTTCCAATTTCCTCAAACACAATCATGATAACGATGGATGAGCTGTCATAACTAGTGATGAGAAATAAAAAAATATTTGTTCAGTGTAGAACGTTTTCATCTATACACGCAATTTCATAATTACAAATATTATATCGTTTTTTGACAGTTTATGTAATTCCTGGTTCATGATTAAATGCCCTACATCATTCGGAACATCTAGCCGGTAACAAATTACCATCCCGGTAGTTCTATCAAATGACTTTTTACTTATAAATGTACTGTTTTAATCTTAAATTTGCAGAAATTTATTGAAATAAGGGATTTATTTTTACTGAACTTGTCTTATTTGAATAAGAGAATTCACCAACTATGTTTTGCAAGCTGCATACCGTACTCCGATCAAATAAATTTGGAATTTCTTAATAAAAAATGCTTCCGGTGACTTTCTTGAAAAAAAATATGCCAGATTTTGAATGACACTATGTATTCGTTTTATGTCTTATACATATAATGTGTAAAGTTTAAAACGTAACATGTCTGCTCTGTCTGTGCGCACAAAAAAAGTTTATTTTATATTTCCAAAGAATATGTCCAAACTAGGCGCCAAGTTAGCCCTCACATAACTTAAACGAGCATTTGTCCTGGTTGTACGACATGGTTTTGACCACAAAGCGTCATTTATAACACAACGCTAGATATCTTATGATTATGCAAACAAATGTTTACGAATTTCCTCAAACAAAATGAAAATGAGCTGCCGTAGCCAATTACAAGAGACAAAATTGGCTAAAAAAATATTCTTTACAGAATGATAAATGAAATAGACAGTTTTCAGTTATCAAATGACTACATAAAAGTTTTCCAATTTCCTCAAACAATGATATTGATGGATGAGCTGCCATAACAAGTGATGAGAAATAAAAAAAATATTTGTTCAGTGTAGAACGTTTTCATCTATACACGCAATTTCATTATAACATAATTATATCGTTATAAAGCCGTCAAAATTCATTAATTGCCTTTATCATCGGATCCCCTCGCCGAATACCTATAATAATCCAGGAAACAACGAGTTCTACCATGTTGAGTTTTGCTCCGGATAAGCGTTTTTCAATGACCCTTAGTGTGACTTTGACCTTTGACTAGGAGAGCTAATTTATGTACATGGCACTGCTCCTTATAGTAGTGAGCATTTGTATGAAGTTTCATTAGAATCCCTGCATATGTGTAGAAGATATACTCCGGAAAAAATATCTATATTTTATCAACTTTAGTGACCTTGACTATCATCTTAAGTGACCTCGACCTTGCATAAATTAACCTTAATAAGATGTTTCAAACCAGTAATGGCCATTTGTGTTTCAATTTCGCAATAAATGATGACTTAATGGTCCAAATATACATTTTCATATTTTATCTGAACTTTCACCCCTATCTGTGACCTTGACCTTGGCCACAAGGTCTTGAATTTGACACACGACACTCCGCCTTACAATGGTGAACATTTATGCCAAGTTATATTGAAATCCCTGTTTGCATGTAGAAGTTTGCTCCGGACAACTGTTTTTCATTGGCCTCTATGTGTGACCTTGACCTAGAGAACTGGTTCATGTATGCAACACATTTTCTCACAGTGATGAACATTTCTATAAATTTCAATAAAACTCTGTCATCTTTAGTGACCTTTACCTTGCACATATTAACCTAAACCACATATTCCACACCAGTAGTCTTGATAGTGCTCATTTGTGTTTCAATCCCCTCAATAAATAAGGACTTAATGGTCAAAGTACAAATTTTCATATTTTTATCTGAACTTTGACCCCTACGTGTGACCTTTTTTGACCTTGGCTACAGGGACCTAAATTTTGCACGCAACACTCTACCTCCCAATGGTGAACATTTGTTCTAAGTTATACTGAAATTCCTCTATGTATAATATTATGTAGATGATTTGCTCTTCAATGACTTCTAAGTGTGATCTTGCACTTTGACCTAGAGAAATGGTTAATGCCTTCTCATAGCTTCTCATAGTGGTGATTTTTTATATGAAGTTTCATTAAAATTCCCCTATGCGTTTAGGTGAAATGCTCCAGAAAAAATTTGGATGCCGCCCACAGGCCCGCCCGCCAGACCGCCCGCCCGCAAGGGAGGGGGAACTTTAAAACGACCCGATTTTCAAACGGGCGTATAACAAAAAGTTACCGTGAGTGCTGAGCTGAAAATCTAAAATAATCTGGTAGCCATCTTTGATTTTGGTGGCCATGTTGGATTCATATTAGTTATGTAATGAAATACTAAAATATTCTGAAAAATGTCATATACGGCGACCATCTTTGATTTTGACGGCCATATTGGATTCACACAACCCCGGTCCCAGGCTTAAATAAAAAGGAGTGTATCAACCAACAACTTAGCATACACTGAGCCATACTTGTAACCTGACAGATATCTTTATGACTAATAAGGTTTGTATTATCGCCGGTGTAGGCCGGATATCTAGCTCGAGTGTTTACGACCAGATCACGGTTATCTCTTTCCGGTCGCCATCTGAAAGGATCAATCCAAGTGCCAACGCTTTTTATTTCATTAAAATCCCTCAAATAGCAAAGAAATTGGGAAAAGTTTCACAAAATTCCATTATTTTCAATTCATGTCGTTTTCGACGTCCAGTCCATTCATGTATACAAACACGATTTCTGATCGATTTTTACGAAAAAAAAAAACGGCTAGAATTTCCACGTACGTTCCATAAACAAACTCTTTTCCTGTCGATCTGCGAAGTCTTCACTGATCAAATGCCCTCTTCGTACGTATTTCATTAAAAAATACACAAGGATCTCGCTTGTGACAGTATTTTATCGCCATGTATAGAGCATGTATATACTGTTCCGCTCTGAATATTATATAAGGATTTGATTGGTTAAGATAATTACTGGAATACTATTGACCAATCGTATAATTCTATTTCTTTGCTTCATTTATCTGTCACTTCAAATTACAAATGGCGCACTTTACTTGACCTCCGCTTCTACAACCAATATTTTTTAAATATTTGAGTACAAAGAGGGCTCAAGTTCAATTTAGACTTCGCAGATTGATAGAAAAAGAGTTTGTTTATGATTTTTATGAGGAAATTTTAGATGTTTTCTATTTATTTCGTAGAAATCGACCAGAAATCGTGTTTGTATACATGAATAGATTGGACGTCGAAAACGACATGGATTGAAATTATCGGCATTTTCTGAAACTTTTACTCATTTCTTTGCTATTTGAAGAAATTTAATGAAATAAAAAGCTTTAACGCTTAAATTGATCCTTTCAGATGGCGACCAGAAAGAGATAACCGTGATCTGGTCGTTTCTTTCAGCATTGTTCTTGTTTGTTCCGCATGATGTTTTTGTTTCGTTGGGGACATTATATCTTTATATACATATATAGACCGATTATGTAAAATATTTGATTATCGGCCTAGCGCCTGTGGCCGTATCGAGGCTCTGCCAAACAGTTACCCGAGAGCTGGATATTATGGCCGCATACGTTGAATTTAAAGCACATAACTAAGTATAAATGACTTTTGAAAAAAAACACAAACATTATTTAATGTGTGTACTGGTATGTAGAAAAAGTAAATTGAAAAGTTATTACTAATGCCTATAATGTACAGCTCCTACTTTAAAGGCAGACACACCTATTGAATACATTAAATAAAATAAGCTGTTATTTTACATGTATTAATATATCAGGAGGTTCTACAACTGCGCGTGTTAGGCCTAAGGTTGCTTCTTTTCTGAGAACAAATAGCGCGAAGTAGTATGTGTTTAATAAGTTCCGTGTTATTTTGTTGTTCATGAGCGATAATAAAAACAACATCGTCGCTGGTTATTACCATTGAGCGAGCAAAATTAAACAGAAAGAATTTCATATCAGAATTAAAATGATACATGTAATTGTGAACAAATTAATTTGTCTATAAAGTCGCTAAAAAAGGTTCACGTTATTAATCATTTTCACAGACACTGTTATGTTTTAGCACTATTTCAATTATCATTCTTCACTATTTTAGTAATGTTTTTCCCTTGGGTCACTGAAGTTATCCCAGGGTTTCACGTGACTAAAAAAGATTAAGGTGTACTGTTACATAGGTATGAATAGTACTTTTTCATAGTAAAAACTTAATTTCATATTAAAATAAATATAAATACATAGGTTTGTGAGTGACAATATTATCCCTCGTAGAAATGTTTTTTCCCTCGAGATGATATTTTCACTGTTACAAAAAAATTTGTTGTTAATATTATATTAACTCTTGAGCACTAATAAAGCATCGTACGGCACCAAAACTTCTCAAAGTGAAATTTGATTGGCTACGCTAGAGAAGAAAGGGGGGACCACTGCGTGGAGTTTGCCCCAAAACAACGCAGTCTGACAATTTTTTGAATAATTTATATTATAATTAAAACTGTTACGCACTTTAATAAAAACAGACAGTTAAAATCAAAGTACAGGATCATGAGTAAAAAGGGTTGGTCAGGTGTTGCCCATAATTAACACTAATAAACACATAACATAAAAAAATACAGTATTAGGTATTGAATAATGGCATTGATAATTAAATTATTGTAGATCAGAATTAGAAATCGGAAATATTTTATATTGTTATCTTTGTTATTTAGTTTTATCGTTGAATTATTAATTTTAATAACAATCAGCCATTTAGCCATTAAAAATTGATTTTTATTTATCAGACATTTGATTTTCGTGACCCGCATGTAGATTCATTTTAAGTCAAGATTTGAATAATTTCAGACTGTCAAGGAAATCCAAAGAATACTGAATACGTTCGGGGCAATGTGTTCTTTAAGCCATTCGGTCTTTTTGCTTCTTCTTTTTGGAGAGTTTTTAAAGGGAAAGACAAGGTTTAAATAAAAACTTGATTTCAGAAAAAGAATACTATAAATAATAAGTCTGCAAATTTTCTGCCGCCAAATAATAATATTAAACGAACGATAACAAAATTTAAATCGCTTAAAATCACCGATTTCTTCTACAAATCGGTAAGCGCGGCCATGTTTGTGTATTGGCCCCCGTATAAAAAACAGGTGCGCGTGAGATGTCATTTCCCACACATTTTTTTAGATTCATGATAAATCTAGTTGAATCGTAAAGGAAATATTGATTATAATAAAGTTATTGATCTGACAATTTTTAATTTTCAACAGGAGGTGTAGAGTAGATTTTTTTATGGTTTTCAAAATACGTAACAATATCAAAAAAAAAAAAATAATAAAAAATAAATTAAAGAAACGTGCGGCTAGCCAAAAAGCTCTAGCCATACGTGAGTCACGAACGACTTAGCCAGGACGCACTGTATTGTCTAGCCGTACGGGGCAATTTTCAAAATTATATGGAGTCGAACGTTATAAAATTGTTGATTTTCATGCTTATTCATTTGTTGTTTAATATGTATGAATTATTAAATCTTTTTTTGTTAATTTTAAGCACATGGATCGAATAAAAAATGATCGGAGTGGAATAAATAAATAAAAAGAACATTGAATGGAAAAAAACGGTGAAATGCAAAAATAATTTATATAATTTTCAAAACAGTAGATAAATATCGAACATAAAAGCACTGTCAATCAATTATTAGCCTTAATTAAAACCTATCCAGGGACTGACAAATAGAATTTTAGAATTGCCTTTCACGGAAAATGCAAACTTTTTCTTGATAAGTACCGTCGGTAATTTGTCGCAATTTCAAGAGGCCCAACAACATCATTTTCAGTGTTTGTTGTTGTTGGTCTTTTTCCATATAAAAGGTGTCGAAAATTAAACTTAATGAAAGCACAAATAGGATTATCTATCCAAAAATTTGTAAACTATTTTCAATTGGTGTAAATGCAAGCAAAGGCTATTTTTTTCGACATCTTGCGATGACAAAGATCGATATATATAGCGATCAAGGCGATTAATCTCTAAAAATTAACATCCAAAGACAATTAATGCTGTTTTTTGGTTAAAATCTCGCTTTAAAAGTCATAAAATAACATATCGCATTTTCGACTTCCATAAAATTTGAAAAGTGCCGTACGGCTAGCCAATACAGCGTGTCCCTTGCTTAGTCGTACGTGACTCACGTACGGCTAAAACTTTTGGCTAGCCGTACGGGCCCGTACGCTAGCCACTTCCATTATAAAAACCCCCTACCAAAACGTGTTCTTAATAGTACATATAATTATTTTTTTGCAGTTTGATTCTGAGTTTCAAATTTAAGGTGGTGAACATATGTTATAATTGATGTACGCAATTTCAAAAATATCAGCAACTGTTTTGAAAAAAGTAAATTGTTAACATGTCTGTCAACGTATGAATGCTGCGCTTCGCAATCGTGGCCTAATATTAACTGCAGGCAAATCATTTTTATTGGCTGCCTGCTCAAAAAATCTAAATTTGCATTTTATTCACACAATTGCTGGTTCTTACTACTTATGTCTAATACTGCGCTATTGTCCATTTTAATTGTTTCCTAAAATTTGCACCAAACTTGCTCTGTCACACTGTTGTACTGACGATTTTTATTGCTCCTTGTATGCCTCTGTGCCGACAGACCTTTTGATCATGCACAATATTGCCCTAATTTGGGGTTTATCACCCCCTTGTCAATATTCTAATGACGAAATAGACATCTATTTTTTACGCTTCATCAGTGAACTGAATGACCTTAGGGGGAATTCGGTTCCACCTGTCAAATTGTACTGTAGTAAATTACAGCCACGTCATAAAATAGCAACACACATTTTTTCTTCAGTTCCCAATAATCATTTTAAATATTAAATAGATTTATGATTTTTTGTTTATTGGATTAAAATGTACGGTAGAAGAAATGCGTATCTGTCGGGGCGGGAAAGTAATTTGGTAAGTAGATAACGTGGAAAAAAGCTTTTGGGGAACTGATAAACCCGAGAATATGCGTAATTAGTAGCGGAATGGGCAACCTGTTGCTGTTGTACCAGTTTTGACTGGGTGCCTAAATAACTTTACGGACAGTTTTGTTATCTACGTATAAATCTGGCTGCCGATTTTCCTGCTGCCTTTCTCATTTTTTTTAGCCCGTCAATGGCGGAAAAATTCGCGTCCCTCAGCTATTGTATTTAGTTGATATTTTACTGAAAAATATGACCGGCCGATGTACCCTATTTGGACAGCTTGTCTAGCGAAAATTAAGTAAACAAATTAAATAAAGGATATATCGTCAATGAATTTGAAGAAGTTTCTCTCATAGTTCCCAAAGTAAATTTATGGTTTTATCTTTGAAAATTAAGCAGTCATTGCTTAAATTCATGTGGTGGGATCATCAGCAAGCTTGAGCTATCGGGCAAAATGATAATTTAATGTGCGGCGTCTTCAATTAATTAATTTAAGGCAATTCAGTTTCCATAGTGATGTTTTCATAAATATATATAATGTACGCAATTAAATTAATAAGTTTTCAATCAGGATAATTTAGTTGTACACGGTGTACAACTAAAACCGGAAGTGGGTATAACACGTACAATCTCGGTCTCGTCTGTTCGCCGAGAATGACAGAACGTCAAAAGGGGGTACCCATGAACTATTTCTCAAGTAAAAAATAGTGGTCCCCTTTAAACACGATTTCTCTCTTTATAGGGGTTGATGTAATAGGGAAACTGTCAGGTTCCTTTTTTAAATGATGAATATTTATATTAGACAGAATCGATCCATGCATTCTTATTCCTTTTAAACGTTTACCGGATGTGAGAAATTTGGTCCGGAATTCTGGGAAAGGTTCGCTATTTCGGGCGTTCAAATGCCCCCGGTAAATTCGTTGTCTAGTTGGCTAGATCACTACGTGACTGTGCCGTGGAATGCGGATTGAGATCTTCATGTGTTGGACTTAATTATGAGAGGCTTGCAAAAATGTGCGAGCTGCTTGGAGCGTCTTCTTTACCATTTGAAGCTGGCAAGAGCAAAGGTTGGGTATACGTACAAAAGGATGACGCAATGAAGAAGGTGGGTTTTGTTTTTCAATGCATCATAAATAAATCAACAAACAATACAAATTTACTACATGTATCTTATCAGACATTTTTTCACAAGATTTTGTTGCAATACGGAACGCATGATATTATGGGTGTTGCTTTTATGTAAATTTATTTGAGCATTTTTGTTTGTAAATCTTTTTACTTTAACATATTCCTCAACATGTGGCCATTCCAAATATCAATTTTTTATATATAAGCATGTCACAATTTCGTTATGTAAAAATCCCCCTAGTATGTGAAATGATTAGCAACCATGCAGGTAATAAAAATTTAATGTTAATCAAAATATATGGTACATATCGCTAAGGGGAAGATTTTTGTTGGGCTTGGTAAAAATTAACAAGACCGGTCATGAAATAACACTCGTGGATGTCAAATAACACTTGGAATTTAATAACGGAACTGTGATAGCTGTTGGATATAATACATTAATATAAACTCATCACTGTGACCATCCTTAACACAGGAATGTGATATCAATACCTATGTTTTGTGACTTGCAAAAATATGCTGCATCTCATCGGAAAGTGTGGTCTTTGTCAGTCAAAAGTTACGTGAAGTAAAGCTTGCACAGGGCCAGAAATTTGTTAGCATTCTCCTTTGGATGTTGACTTTGAATCCATCATAACATTGATTTACTCTGATACAGTTGGGATATGTTAAAAAAGATGAGTCAATTGTGTTCTCTGCGCCGACATGTATATAGCGGTACGGCTGTCGACGGTTGAACGGCTGTCTGTCCATTTGATTGTACGGTGTGCATTATGCCTCAGAAATCAATATTTTTTTATTCTTTAGAAAAGTCGGATATGAGTTAAATAATATTTTGATAATGAATTTAAAGCATCTTAGATGTGAATCAACTGCGAAATGTAGAATTAAATGTGCTACACGGGTTAACGTGTTTTAAAGGAAGCAAAATATAATCAAACAAAATATTGACTCTCTATAATCATACCAATTGCCAAAGAGCAAAAGAACCGAAAGATGTTTCATCATATATGGCCAATGTGTATTTTATTTGAAACCGTAATAAGTTACCAATAAAATAAAAACATATTGAGAAATGAAATGGCCCCTTAAAACTGAAAAGAAGACTATAATGTTATATTACATCAACACATGTAAAAAACTATTGTGTTGTTACTTCATAGGAAAATTGTACACATATGTTTTCAATCTATTTAATTTTAGGACATTATATTTTATCTTAGGACATTATATTTTATCTACTTAGGACATTTGATTTTATCTAAGGACATTATATTTTATTTTAGGAAATTATATTTTATCTTAGGACATTATGTTTTATCTTAAGACATTATATTTTATCTAAGGACATTTGATTTTATCTAGGGACATTATATTTTATTTTAGGAAATTATATTTTATCTTAGGACATTAGGTTTTCTCTTAAGACATTATATTTTATCTAAGGACATTTGATTTTATCTAAGGACATTATATTTTATTTTAGGAAATTATATTTTATCTTAGGACATTAGGTTTTCTCTACATTATATTTTATCTAAGGACATTTGATTTTATCTAAGTACATTATATTTTATTTAAGGAAATTATATTTTATCTTAGGGCATTATGTTTTCTCTTAAGACATTATATTTTATCTTAGGACATTATGACTGAATACTGTGGTAGCAGTGATGATTGCCCTCCTGGGCAAACATGTTGCAAAGAAGGCTCAAACTTCCGGTGTGGAATTAAAGGTATATTGACAATATTAATGTGAAATCATCAATTTAAAATAAACAACAAGTATCGTTAAAAACATTCTCGGCCGAAGTAAACCTGCTGTAACTTGCATAGGTTATTTCGGCGTTTGTTTTAATTCATAAAGAAATTTTCAGTTTGTAATTTTTTCAACATCCAATGAACATCCCACCTATATATCAAGTTCTTCCCTCTATAATTTAGAGGAAGTAAACCCGTTCTCAGACAGACTTCGTCCGGAAAAAATGACTCAGACCAAATACGCTACCAAAGCATCTCCCGGGGATCGAACCCACGCCAGAGAGGTGACTAACACCGATAAGGTTGACTAGCCCTTGAGATATGACCAAAAAAAAAACAACAACCAGATAACCAAACAAACGAACTTACACTGTGTAGATCTAATTCTGCCAACTCACCAATTATTACATGTCATTTTCATGCTCTTTCAAATTAAGTTCTGCTTCACAGTGAAATTATCAAAATATATAGAGGATATTGAATGAGTGTAAGTTCAATACTGAATTTATTGCACGAGTTGAATAAAACTATATCATGCGAGCCTCTGGCGAGATTCAACTCGTGCAATAAATTAGTCATGAACTTACACGAATTTAATATTCTATTAATCACATACCCAAAATAAAGACCGTTTAAAGTGAATTAAGAGTCATTTTCATTGACGCACCTATAGTATAACGCTAACATACAGCGCCTCTTTACACTATGTTTGTATAACGATTATGACGTCATGTAAAAATATATGCACGGCCGTGCAATATCATTTTTACGGAATCGCAAAATCGGCACGGGTGTGTGATTAAATTCTATATATAGTTTATAACATATAGAAAATTAACTTATTCTGCCATTCTCGATGATTCAGAATGTCTCAAACCCATTGCAATTTCCGGTGACTACAAACCAAATGGCGGCTTTATGCTACACGTTGGCGCTACGATCAGGATGACCAGTAACATTAGCCGTCCATACTTCATTCGGTGCTGTGCCAACGGCAGTTGGGCGGAGAATAATTGTTCAGGTATTTTCTTTTTAGGGACGCGTGTACCTTTTTCCTGTTGTTGTTGTTGATCTTTGAAGATTTGTGGGCACTGTTTATGTCCCATGGCGACTGTAGCAGACACTATATGCCTTCTTTTATGCTCTATGTGAGCTGGCTGGGAAACTGCCTCCCATTATAAAGAATTCAACGTCTTTAGAGGGATTCGAATATACCGTCTTGCGGTGCTTAAAATTCAAGTATGCAGCATAAATTGATTTTAATGAATTACAATAACATCTAATTATTAATAGTGAAATGAGAAATCTAATAAATGTATTTCTGTAAATAGACTAGTTTGTTGAGTTATGTTTGTATAAAAGGGTGTGTTCACGAAATCATAGCTGAACCTACTTGATACATTAAAAAGTTTAATGTTATATATTTTGTTCAATAACGCTTTAATCTATTTTCTTAAATGAGTTAATTAAACGAATAAAGATATGAATGTGACGTGAGTTCATAAAAATAATCTATTTTTATTATAAAAACTATTCAGTCAGTTAAATCTTTACAGTCCCTTTCGACCCACCTATTTTATTTACATATTTAAATGATTTAAAATGTCAAACGTTTACAGCAACACCAGTGTCAACATTACCACCTGTAACACCAGCTGTAGCCACAACGACGTCAAATCCGACGTCATCGGCGGCTCAGACGTCACAGGAAGCATCAACGACGTCAAATCCGCCGTCATCGGCAGCTCAGACGTCACCAGAAGCATCAACAACGCAAATTCCGACGTCATCGGCGGCTCAAACGTCACCAGAAACATCAACGACGTCAAATCCGACGTCATCGGCAGCTCAGACGTCCCCAGAAACATCATCGACGTCAATTCCGACGTCAACGGGGGCTCAGACGTCCCAAGAAACATCAACGAGGCAAATTCTGACGTCTCCAGTAACCACAACAACGCCAATTATAACTTCACAGACGACTTCAACACCACAACCGTCCATATCTATCGATGAAAACGATTGGTACACTCTGGAATCCGAGACAAGGAGGCGACAACTGGCACCAGTCATGGATGCTGAATTAAGCTGGAAAAATGCTATGGTGGCTAGAATTATCTAATGTTGATTATTATCAAACTAATTAAATTAAATATATAGATGATTTTGAATAAGTGTAAGTTCAATACTGAATTTATTTCACAAGTTGAATAAAATTTTATTATGCGAGCCTCTGTCGGGCTTATTAAAATTTCATATAACAAGTTAAATAATTTCAGTAATGAACCTACAATAATTTTATTGTATATTCTATTATATTCTACGAGGGATGTCGATATATCACATAACTTAAAAAAACCTGTTTTTCAGTTGAAATAATATTTTTTTCGTTGACGAGCCTATTTAGTGTAACGCTGACTTTTAGCGCGCTTTTACGCAATGTTTGTATAATGCAAATGACGCCACGTCAAAATATATGCACGGACGTGTCATAACATTTTCACGGAGCCGTGAAAGCTGTGCGGGTATGTGATAAAAAAAAAACTCATTTTAAAGGACCACTGATAGTCCACTGAATTTTACTGGATTTATTGTCGGCTGAGACATCCAAGATAGCGTCCACAATGGCCGCTAAAATATGAAGATTTCTTTCTTAATACTTAACTTTTAGTTTTTAAAACGTTTAACGCCATGTTTTTCGTTTTTTTACATGCAACATTTCATGTTTTCATTGTCATAATAAAAATCACACATGGAGTCAAACTGGTAGGAGCACGGGGATTATATTATCATATTTTCAAAAATCAAAGTACTGAAAGTACCCGTATAGGATTGTAATGAATATAAAGGCGAAATGTACTATTTCAACTTCAAACTATTCCCATATCAAACTGATAGGGCCAGCAAGTTCATTATTTATTTCATGCTTTCCAGTGTTTTATTGTAATATATCAGATGATTATATTCTGATAAACCACTAGTGAAATTTATAAAATATAATTTTCACTGTAGCCGAACTATATCTGAATGCGAATGAAAAGAAAATCATAACTAAATGGAATAACAGACAGAAATAAATGCCGTCATGCGTAAATTTTGCTTCTTTAGGAAAAGAAAGTCGACGTCACCATACATCATGTTAAAAATGTTACAAAATAAGAGAAATTTAACAGAACTATATTTCAAAATTGATGATGTGACGTCATGATGTGATGACGTCACAAAGGAGAATGCACGACATTACGCGGCAAAATCAGTAAAAAAATACTTAAAATCACTTAAAAAGCATGAAATAAAAAGAAAATTTATTTGTTTTACCTATAAGATTGAAATATATTTCATTCGTGAACACCAGCTATTATATTTTCACTCGTGGCTACGCCACTCGTGAAAATATTGCATCTGGTGTCCACTCAGTGAAATTATATTTCAATCTTACATGCAAAACAAACAAATATCCTCTATTTATTACATGCTTTTCGGTGGTTTATAGAAATATATCAGTGAAATAAAAACTGATAATTTCACTGTTTCAAACAGTGAAATTACCAATTTGATAATTTCACTGTTTTGAATATTTGAGCCCGTTACGTTGTTTCAGTGAAATAAAAAGCGTTCACAGTACTGGAAACCAACTTAATGACGTGACGTCGTAAATGACGTCACGTTGTATAATTATTTGGCGCCCTTTTCATTTAGTACTAGGTTAAAATGTCTTTTATAACGTTTCTTTGCATATAATAAAAAGAAAATTTGTTTACTTTAATGTAAGATCGAATTATATTTCACCTCGTGAACACCAAAAGTTCATATTTCACTCGTGGCTGCGCCACTCGTGAAATATACCTTTTGGTGCTCACTCGGTGAAATATATTCCGATCTTACACTGAACTAAACAAATATCCTCTATATAAACCGTGGCGCTGTCCAGAGTGTAATAAAGCCATGTAATAAAAACGATATTACACAAGTGTAATAACACTTTGACGTGACGTCATTTGCGCTATATAGACACATAGCGTTAAAGCGCGCTAATGTTAGTGTTACACTTTAGGCGCGTAATTGAAAAATTACTCATTTTAAAGGTTTACTGTTCTTATTTTATAAATGTGATAAAAAAATATTATATTCGTGTATATTCAATACTAAATTTATTGAACTCGTTGAATAAAACAATATTATGCTCGTCAGAGGCTCGCATTATATGATTTTATTCAACTCGTTCAATAAATTTAGTATTAAACTACACTTATTTAATATCCTCTCTATATAATTTATGCACAGCATGAAAACAAATGCTTGTAAACACATCATTTGACGTCATAAATGACGTCAATGAACAAATTGACATGAAAATTACCTCAGCACTTACATACATGCAGTTCAACATAATTTTTATCAATTGTCCCTTTTACTAACATATTAGAATGGAAATAGATGCAGCGTTTATCGTGAATATGCTTTGTAATAAATCACACAGGCCTATCGGCCTTGTGGTTATATGTAGCAACGCTATATGTCGCAACGCCGCTATATGTCGCAACTAACGCTAAATGTCGCAACGCTGACGCTATATGTCGCAATCAACGCTAAATGTCGCAATCGCCTACCGCTAAATGTCGCAACGTTGCCGCTATATGTCGCACAAAAATCGATTGCCGCTAAATGTCGCAACCCCTTGACGCTAAATGTCGCACTTGGTGGAAAAGTCAAATCAGATCAGGCACATTGACCGATTGGTTTCCATTTATATTTGTAACAAAACTACCTTTCACAAATACATATTTCGCATTTTTATCCTGTCACTTGTATCAATTTCGGCCCGATAACAAGGTGCCGTATATTTTTACTGATCTACGGCACTTGATCACGTGATATGCATGGTTTGTCGGACTACTTTTCAAGAAAAAATGTAATTATTTCCAATAGAGGCCGTTCCAGTGGTATGAAAAAAACTGTCGTTAAATCTTATGTGTGTAGAAGAACGAATTTTGGAAACGTTGATAAAACTTTGTTTGTCTATTTTATTTCACTCTATAATTTTTCAAGCGAAATAAAAATTATTAAAAGTGAATAAGTGTAAACCTTAACTCCACCTGAGTTAACCTGAACTCGTTTGCGACATTAAAATAGCGTACTTGATTTGATTGCTTTGCACGTGCTGTATGGCGCTACATTGTGACGTCACGTAAACAATACTTTAAACGTCAGTACAGCGTTAACGACTGAATAAAAGATATTGTTGTTCGAATTCATTTTCTTAGACATTTTGTTTCATTCTAGATAGTTTTCACAACAAAATTCGACAAAAAATTGTTTTTATTTATCACATTTTTCAAACAAAATGGCGCCCTCAATGTGAAAATAATAAGAACGGCGAGTGTATTGTTGTAGAATAATGCACGCTTCGGGCCTTCTTTGTTTATATAGAAACATTTTCGATAGTGTGATTAAAGGTAGTTTGCCTAATAAAATTCTTTAAAAAAAACGGTGACAGGATTAATAGAATAATAGATTGGTGCCGTGGATGCATCCAATATGCAATTATATCGGTAACAAAATGAAATTAAATATAAGCCGCGTGAATTCATATCGTTACTGCTTGGTGTGTCTTATTACTATTTAATACAGTGGATGTTTAAGGACATGAGAAAATACTTTCTTTCATTTGACAAAAATGAAAAATAAAAATGTTTTGCAACAATGCGAGAAATTTAAAATGTGCCCCAAAGTGTTAAAATTATGTACAAACATTTTTTATTTATTTGTGTTTTTATTGGGAACTCGCAAAATAAATTGTGTCGTGCTGCAGTAAATCATGTGTGTTATATAAAATCATATAAGACTTGGATGCTTCGCAGCCGAATAAAAGCACTATGACGCCGCATAGAAGTACGGAATGCCGTTAGGGCCATTGCTTATGAATGTGTTGATCTGAAACGCGATAGTCGATAGTACGATGGTGAAAACGCGAAATCACGAAACTACGATGGTGAAAACGCGAAAGTACGATGATGAAAACGCGAAAGTACGATGATGAAAACGCGACAGTACGATACTACGATGATGAAAACGCGATAAACTATCGTGTTTTCACCATCGTATTGTCGCGTTTTCACCATCGTAGTTTCGTCATTTCGCGTTTTCATCATCGTACTGTCGTGTTTTCATCATCGTACTATCGCGTTTTCACCATCGTACTATCGCGTTTTCATCATCGTACTGTCGTGTTTTCATCATCGTACTATCGCGTTTTCAACATCGTACCGTCGTGTTTTCATCATCGTACTATCGCATTTTCATCATCGTACTATCGCGTTTTCATCATCGTACTATCGTGTTTTCACCATCGTAGTTTCGTGATTTCGTGTTTTCACCATCGTACTATCGACTATCGAGTTTCAGATTAACACATTCATAGGCGATGGCCCTAACGGCATTCCGGAATGCCGTTAGGGCCATCGCCTATGAATGGTTTGATCTGAAACGCGATACTCGACAGTACGATGATGAAAAACGCGAAATCACGAAACTACGATGGTAAAAACGCGACAGTACGATGGTGAAAACACGATAGTTTGTCGCGTTTTCATCATCGTAGTATCGTACTGTCGCGTTTTCATCATCGTACTATCGCGTTTTCATCATCGTACTTTCGCGTTTTCACCATCGTAGTTTCGTGATTCGCGTTTTCACCATCGTACTATCGACTATCGCGTTTCAGATCAACACATTCATAGGCGATGGCCCTAACGGGA